ATTCTGGTTGAGCCATTTATATCACCCACTGGTTTCTACAAGTCTCATGCTGAATTTTGGGATGGTGATGTGTAGATAACACAGCACAGAACCATGAAACATAGCGAATCATGCATGCCATTCCCAGAGATGTCATGTAAGCCTCTGTTTTAATACGGAATTCGAAGACTGGTTTGCCTTTACAATAGGCATATATGGTTTCTGTTGTTGCATGTCATGCCAAATTTCTTATGGTTCGAACGATATATGCACAGTTCCAGTTTCCTTGCTAGCTAGTGTTAGCAATTCTAAAGCAAGTAGCAGTTAAGTCATTGTCAAGTGGATGGTTAAACCTAAGTTAGCAAAGAATAAGAACTACAACGAAGAGATTAAGCATAAAGCAATAGCAGATAAATCCGGATGCAAGAAACGAAAAAGAAGAGAAGAAAAAGACTGACAGAGGTAAGAGATGAGAAGAGACCGGTGGATAGTTGATCGGTTGCTTCATCGATCAGCGAAGCATTCCGGAAGTAGAATAACTCCTCGTCGATCATCAAAGCAACCCTAACTTGTGATTGTGTTTCCCTATCTCATATGATAGTTTTCCAAACAGGAAACATTGCGAGTATTTTGATAGGACATATTTTGGTATCGCCCTTATGGACGTGGTCAGCAACCACATCGGACATGGAGCCTCGGGACTGAGATAGGGCGTCGTGTCGAGCATGACACTTCAGACTCGGGACGATGGTCGTCCCTTTCCGCACCGTCCGGAGCCACATGGGAAAGCGCCTGATAGGACATGTTTTGGCCCTAGGTGAATCACCAACAAACATCAACCACGTCACGATCGCAATGCCACAAGCCACTAAAACCATGGGGTGCACCCCACGTTAAGTTTCAACTGTATAACTGTGCGACCTGACCACCCCAAGAGCTCGGGGCGGTGCCGTTTGTTTTGGCGACGGCGCTGTCTGATGCCACTCAAGCACCCTCAAAGACACCATCTTGTCAGAGGGGTTGTCCCGCTCCTGCGAGGATCAGCGGCCAGGCCGAACTAAGGCACAACCGACTTTCGCATGCAGGTATAAATACCCAGGCCGATCCCAACCAGAGTAGAAAAAAAGAAAGAAAGAAAGAAAGGGGGGGAATCGGAACCGATCTAACTTGCTCATTAGATGGGCCAAAGTCGGGACTCACCCGACGAAGGCCGTTTTGCAGGGAGGCGATCACTACCAAGCTGCGAGCGTCATCATCCCGAAGTCGCCATCTAATACGCAAAAGAGGGCAGTCCAGCGGTTAGGACCCTGACAAGCGCCAGCTCGCATCTCCCATCTCAAGGAGGTGCCCATGCTACAAGGAAGATCGCCAACTGTCCAGGGGATGAGGGAACGCATCTCGCCATAAGCGGTGCTCGGGTCGGTTGGCTTTGGAGTGCTAACCCCCAGCCGCTTCCGAAGACTCGCCCGATCCCACCGCCTCAACCCTCGCTAGAGGCGCTCGAGGGGTGCAGCCACCCCATCAATCCATATATTCCACTAGAAATTCCCGACGTCGGCACATGGGCCTAACTGTGCTGACTCATCAGCCACGGTACTTTTGTTCACTAACATTTTGGCGATAGAAGGAGGGCCTATGTCGCAGGAATAGTTGGTAGGAACTCGCCCCAGGAGGGGAACCCCCAACCGACCTCCCTTTCGTTGAGCCAGAAGGTCAAACCCTTTCCGCCCCTACGGACGGAAGGATACCGGCTTCAACGCTTGATCGTTACTGGTGTTTGTTCAACGACCCAGGACTATCGCCCCCGGGGCTTGCCCTGGGGCCCTCGGCCGTGATGCTCGAGGCGTTCCTCAGCCTAACCAAACAAGTGCAGACTATGGCGAGCATGATACACACGCTCGCCCCGATCGTTCCCCAAATCGTGCAACTGGTGATGCCCCCGACCAATCTGGCCCGGCAACCCCCGAACAGGGAACAGCTTGGGATCAAGGAGGCCTCTAGGCGAGCGATAGACCCGAGGGGTCCTCCCAAGCAGATCACACGTGCACCTTACCGAGCCACGCTACCTCATTTGGAGCCTGACACCATATCGTCCGACTCGACGGTTGACTCGTTTAAAGTCCAGTTGTCCCGGGTCAATCAGCGCTCGGATGCGTTCTAGCGCGAGCTTCGGAGGTCGCGTAGCGAGTCCAGCGAGGGCACCTCGGGCGGGTCCCCTTTTACCCAGGAAGTGCAGGACAAACCAGTACTCCTTAACTTTAGGTTCTCGATTTTGAAGACATATGATAGAGGCTCTGATCCCATGGAGCATATCTCAGTATTCCGGGCCCAAATGACCCTCTATGGTGCCTCCGATGCGTTGATGTGTCGAGCGTTTCCAACCACTCTGAGAGGGCCGGTGCGGATGTGGTTCAATCGGCTATGCCAAGCTTCAGTCTTGTCCTTCGACCAGCTGGCCGAGGAATTTGAGCAAAACTTCCTCGCCAGCGCGCTGTAATATCCCTCACTTTTGAAAATTTATTAATAAGGATTTATATGTAAATTGGAGGACCCATATGTAAATATAGAAATTTCAAGGACTAAACTGTTAAGTTGCAAAAAGAAATAAAAAGAAAACCGAAAATTTCGGTTTTATCCCATCGCCTCCCAAGCTCTCTGTTTCGAAACAGAAGCGGAGCGGTGGGGCGTGGGGAGAAGAAGAGAGGAAGAAGAGGGAGAAGAGAAGAAGAAGAAGAAGAAGAAGAAGAGAGGATAGCTGCGGCAAGGCTGCAGCGAGGAGGTGTGTGGCGTTGGGGAAGAAAAGGGAAGAGGAGAAGAAGAGGAGAAGAAGAGGGAAAAGAGAGGGAAGAGGGAGAGGAGCGAGAGGTGGCAGCAGCTAGGGCTGCAG